ACCTGGGCTACACAGCAAGACATCCATGTTCACACACACACACACACACACACACACACACACACACACACACACGTCACCACCATCACCACCATCACCACCACCACCACCACTGCTACCACTTCCTCCCATCCCCCACCAACTCTCACTTCCAAGCCTGGTTAACTCCTGAGGTTCCCGGTGGACGTGAATTTTTCGGGATACTGTTCAAAACATTCCACAGCTCCTGCAGTTTCTTGTATTAATTTTCCACTTTGTCATTGTCAGCTGTGGAATGGGATGACAATAGCTTAATCAACACTCAGCAGGAGCTGGGCCAGGTGACAAACCTGAGTGATGGGCACCCTGTCTTACTCAGATCCTCCTGTCCTCTTCTAAGCTTACCTTGCTGAAGCCAACAGCCAGCTCCTCCTTACTTAGGACACAGTTACCCGAGGAGGCTTGTCTTCTCCGCTGCAGGAGATCACAACACGCCCATCCCAAATTTTAGTTTTGGGTTCACAGCAAAGCCTCAAGTATAGGTAGAGAAGAGCTGCCAACACATGAATATTATATAAGGTATTCCTTGTCCTGCTTATTAAAAACAGCCAAATCTGGGTGTGGTGACACATGCTTGTAATCCCAGCACTTCGGAGGCAGAAGCAAGAATTTAAGAATCAACAACCTGACGGAAATCAACAATAACAACCTGAGCTACCAGAGACCCTGTCTCAAGAAAGTAGAAATAATAAGTAAATAAAAATAAAGGCAATCAAGAGTAATTATTTTACATACATCGTATTTCATGCATTTATTCACTGAAGACTTGCTGGGGGTATCTGTAGCTAGTTTGAATACTCCTGGATTGTGAGAGAATCTGTAAAAAATTTGGGTAGCCTTCACTCAGTCTTCTCTGCTTCTCTGTAACAAGTGGCCCAGTCAGTGTGAAGGCACCTACTCAAGACTCACGAATACCACCTAGACCAGGAAGTCAATGATGGAAAAGTATGCTGGCGTCCGAAAAGTTTACCCTTACTGGTCATATGCACAACTTGGATTGGCAGCCTTGGGCATGACTCAACAGAAACAAGAGGATTGCATCTTCTAGTTGGTAGTTCTCCTAGATCCTTGTCCTCCTGACCATCGAAATAATGTGGGCACTGCTAAGGTCTCGGGTCTATCATGATGACTGTGCCCAGAGCTGTCAACATGCTACTTTCTCTCAAGGCTCTCTGTGTGTGTTGTGTACCTGCCAGTGTGTACCTACCCTGTGTGTGGAGACCACAGGTCACTGTCAGGTGTCTCTCTTAGTCACCCTTCCCTTTAATTTTTGAGACAAGTTCTCTTATAAACCCTGGAGCTCACCAGTTTGTCAAGACTAGCTGTCCAGAGAGTTCCAGGAATCTTCCTATCTCTGCTTCTCTAGTGCTCTCTGGAAATCCCCCTGTCTCTGCTTCCCCAGTGCTGGGTTTACAGGTGTGCCCCTTCTCTTGTCTTTCATGTTGGTGCTGGGGGTCTGCACTCTTGTCCTCATGTGCCGATGGCAAGCATTTTACTGACTGAGCATCTCCCAGCCCCTGTGTGGCTTCTTATGCCTTAGCATCAAAGTTCCCCATGAGCAGGGAACCTTACAGATGAGGGAAAGTGAGGTCAGAGGCTGGGGGAGGGAAAGGTGTTTGTGTTTGTAGAGTTTGTGCAAACAAGTTCTAATTCATACTGGGTCAGAATGTGCACTCCTAGTGAATCTGAGACAGAGAGGAAGCCTGGTGGATTTGGCAGCACCATATGTTGGGTGTTTGGAGAAGGTCATTGCATCTATCCCATGCATCTAGGTAAGAAGCCCTTTGTACTTTGTGAAGGTGGAGAAGTCAGACTCTTCTGTGGATCCCTTTGGCTTTTGGCTTTATGATAGCGTGATTAATAGTTTTTGTAGAACTCACTGTTACAGCCAGTCTGTCTCCAGGCAGAGTCGATTCTGTTCTCATCCTTCCATGGCACAGTAAAGATTGGGATGCATATCACTGTACCGATGGCTTAGTGTACAGTGTTGGTACCGGAATCCCAGGCTACAAGGGTGTAAAGAATGATCCACACCCTAGCCTGGAGGTCAGGACATCTCTGGCAGCTTGTAGACCTCAACAGCAGGGAATGCAGCCTCACCGCTTCCAGAAACACTGAGAAGGAAAGACACAAGCATGCTCATTACCCACATCTGACAACCTAGCAGGGTGAATTCATTACCCACATCGAACAACCTTGCAGGGTGAAGTCAGGAATTTGAAAGCTGCCATAAATGGCGGGTGCATTAAAATAGTTTGTGGTAGGCAAGGGGAAGTGCAGACAGGTGAGCTTTTCCATCTTTTAAGGTGATCAGGAAATGAGGCAGCAATGTATTAAGGGAGAAAAATGGAAATGGTGAGACCTGTCTCTCAGAGCCTCTCACCACGGTGGATTGAGAGAGGAGACAGGCAGGGCCTGTTCTGGGTCACGGTGAGCTTCAAGAGTGTCATAGCTTCCAAAGTCTGAGGTCTGGTTTTAAATGATTATTGCCCTTATTGGGACTTTGGGCATGTTACTTTCCAGTTCCTGTCTTCATGGCTCTAAGTGAGGAGTAATAATATCTTCCTCGGGGGTGTGGTCAACAACAGGCCATGAGGGAAAGGGTCTGCTGGTCTCGGGCACTGAGGCACTCAGGTCAGTATCAGCTGACCACGATTACTTGTTAGCTTTTGCTGTGTGCTCCAGTTTTCCAAACCTCAGATACAGGAGGCACATAGTTGCTGCTCAATAAACATCCATTTTATCTTTATCTTTATTCTGAAATAGTTTTAGAGTTAGAAAAAAGTTGTAAAAATACTAGGGAGTTCCCCTGCGCCCTACCCCCGGCTCCCCTAAGGTTAATGTCTTGGGTGAGCATGGGACATCGGAATGCCATTAAATAAACTGCATGTCACCAGCTGCTTTCCTACTGTCTTTTCCTGTTCTGCTTTGCCCTTTCATGACAATTTGCCCCTTACTTGTGACAATACCTTAGACTCTGTGTTTTGTGACCCTGGCACTGTTGAAGAGCACTGGGAAATTTGGCTGTGGAGTATTTCTCACATTAAGTGTTCTGTCCTCAGCTACTTTCTCATAATTTGATGGAGACTTTGCACTCTGGGCTAGAATATATCAGCCACGACACATTTACTTTAAAAAGTTTCTCTCCGTTTACTGTGGTGCAATACACACCACATAAAATTTTATCATTTATGCAGTTTTACTTATCAGTAAAGCAATTCAAAGGAACTAGTACATTCATAACGTGTACCCACCACACGGCGTTGTGTTCCTGTTAGTTCCAGACTTTTTCATCACCCCAAAGGAAACCCAAGGGTTGATAGTGTAGTCAATATCCAGTTCTTCACACAACCGCAGGCATCCATCACCTGCAATCTCTCTATGGTTTCGCTTGTTCTGGGCATTTCACGTTAATACAACCATACAACATGTGGCCTCTTGTGTTTGGTTTCTTTTACCCAGTGTGTTTCAGAGGTTGTAGCAAGTGTACTTCATTTTACAGTCGAATAATATTCGGTTGTATAGGTAGTCTATATTTTACCTCCCTATTCCCAAATTCCACAGTGACTGTGGACTCCTGGGATGGGCCTGAGAGCTGTGGGAAGGAAAGGTCAGTCCCCTGTGGTTGCAGAAAAGCACTGTACCGTGCAGCGGTCAGGGTGCGACCAGGGAATATAGGATTGTGTTTATTTGGGCCAGAGTTTACACAGACCAGTGTAGAACTTGTTCATGGGAAGCTGACTTCTTTGAAAGTTTCCCTTGTGAAGAGGGAAAGTTGTTCGTGTGAAGGATGAGAAGTCTTCAGAGATGGGAAGATAACTTCCCCAGGGGTTGAAAAGGTGGTTCTCAGTGGCGCTGGACTTTAGAAGCTATCAGAGGCGGCTTGGCTGGCGAAGATCATTTCCATCCCCGCCAGCAAGTTCAGAGGGGCCTAGCACCACAGGGAACACGCCTTCATTGCTGGCAGAAGGGGAGGTCACAATCGGGCAAAGCCAGGAGCTTAAAACTTCGAGGTATCCAAAAGGTAAACTGCGCTCAGATGCTTCCTGTGCAGACTTGGGGGCCCGGGTGCGGGGCACGTAGACAGAGGCAGCCAAGGCCTCGGAAGAAGGCGGAGGCCTGGTGCCCACAGCAGGCGGCCCAGGCGCCGAGCGGCCCGGGGCGGAGGGCGGAGCCCAGAGCGCGTCCGCCCGGCCCCGCCCCGCTGCAGCCCCGAGCCCGGGGCGCGCTCCAAGGCGGGGTGGCGCGCTGCCGGTGCGCGTGTCCGGGACCCGGCGGTGGCGTGCGCGGGCCGCGCGTGCGCGCTGCGGCGGGGGAGAGGGGCGGCGCGGGCGCGCGTCTGTCAGTGACAGCGGGAGGGGGAGGGGGCCGGAGATGGTGGTGGTGGCGGCTGCGGCTGCTGCTCTTCCGACATGAGGCAGCGGCTGCGGGAGAGCGGGCGGCGGGCGCAGCAGCAGCGGCATCTGTAGCTCGGGCAGGGCCCCTGAGGCGTGGGCGCGGCGTGCGGGCGACCGGCGTGCGGGCCGGCCGGCGTCGCGGGAGTCAGGCTCTGCGGCAGCCCGCACCGCCGTCCGCGGAGGGGCCCGGGCAGTGCCCGGAGCTCGACCCTCGGCGGGGGTGCGGCGCGTTCGGCTGCGGACAAGAGGCCCTGCTAGACCGGCCGCTCCGACGGGCGGCCTTCGGGCTCCGCAAGCTCGCGGGCGGGGGCGCGGGGCAGGGTAGCCCGCCGGTGCTCAGCCGCGCGGGGACGGGACGCGGCAGGAGCCGCAGGTCGGCCCGCGCGCTTTGACGCACCGGGCGCCGCTGCGGCAGGATGAAGCGCTGCTCGTCTCCGGCCGAGTTGTTTTTGCGAACGCTGCTCCCGGTGCCCGGAGCGCTCAAGGTCTGAACTTCCCTCTGGAGCTGCAGTTGGAGGCGCACGGGGACAGGCCACCAGCGGGCGACGGCGCCCGAGGGGAGCGCAGCGCAGCGCGCCGGGAAGCTAAGTCTCAGCGCGGCCGCGGCACGAGAACCCCGGGAACACCAGGTACGGCCCGTGCGGTCTTCTCTCGCCTTGGCGCTTTTATTCGCCGTTATGGGCAGTTTTTGTGAACATATGGTGCCTTCCCAAGTGGCTCGCCAGAGCTCGCACTCCCGACAAGCGTAGGTCGCGTGGCCCTCCGGGAGTGTGTGTAGTAAGGCCGCTCTAATTCTGCTGGTTTCGCCTGCAGGTACCCCTGACCTGGTCGGGAAAGGTTCCAAGAGCTAGGCAACATGGCTTCCTCACCCCACCAGCAGCTGCTGCATCACCATAGCACCGAGGTGAGCTGCGACTCAAGTGGAGACAGCAACAGCGTGAGGGTCAAGATCAACCCTAAGCAGCTGTCCTCCAACACCCACCCGAAGCACTGCAAGTACAGCATCTCCTCCAGCTGTAGCAGCTCAGGAGACTCGGGGGGCCTTCCCCGGCGAGTGGGCGGCGGGGGTCGCCTACGCAGACAGAAGAAGCTGCCCCAGCTGTTTGAGAGGGCCTCCAGCCGGTGGTGGGACCCCAAATTCGACTCCGTGAACCTGGAGGAGGCCTGCCTGGAGCGCTGCTTTCCGCAGACCCAGCGCCGCTTCCGGTACGCACTCTTTTATGTGGGCTTCGCCTGCCTTCTCTGGAGCATCTATTTCGCTGTCCACATGAGATCCAAAGTGATTGTCATGGTGGTCCCAGCTCTGTGCTTCCTGGTGGTGTGTGTGGGCTTTTTCCTGTTTACTTTCACCAAGCTGTACGCCCGGCATTATGCGTGGACCTCGCTGGCTCTCACCCTGCTGGTGTTCGCCCTGACCCTGGCTGCGCAGTTTCAGGTTTGGACACCTCTGTCAGGACGTGTTGACAGCTCCAATCATACGCACACGGCCAAGCCAGAGGACACTTGCTTATCTCAAGTGGGAAGCTTCTCCATGTGCATCGAAGTGCTTCTTTTGCTCTACACAGTCATGCATTTACCTCTGTACTTGAGCTTGGTTTTGGGGGTGGTCTACTCTGTCCTTTTTGAGACCTTCGGTTACCATTTCCGAAATGAATACTGCTTCCCCTCCCCGGGCCCTGGGGCCCTGCACTGGGAGCTGTTGAGCAGAGCCCTGCTGCACGTGTGCATTCATGCCATCGGGATCCATCTGTTCGTCATGTCTCAGGTGAGGTCCAGGAGCACCTTCCTCAAGGTGGGACAATCCATTATGCACGGCAAAGATCTGGAAGTGGAGAAAGCCCTGAAAGAGAGGATGATTCATTCTGTGATGCCGAGAATCATAGCTGATGACTTAATGAAACAAGGGGACGAGGAGAGCGAGAATTCTGTCAAGAGGCACGCCACCTCCAGTCCCAAGAACAGGAAGAAGAAGTCCTCCATACAGAAAGCGCCTATAGCATTCCGTCCCTTTAAGATGCAGCAGATTGAAGAAGTCAGTATTTTATTTGCAGACATTGTGGGTTTCACCAAGATGAGTGCTAACAAATCTGCTCATGCCTTGGTAGGGCTACTCAATGATCTGTTCGGTCGCTTCGACCGCTTGTGTGAGGAGACCAAGTGTGAGAAGATCAGCACTCTAGGAGACTGTTATTATTGTGTGGCCGGGTGTCCGGAGCCCCGGGCCGACCATGCCTACTGCTGCATTGAGATGGGCTTAGGCATGATCAAAGCCATCGAGCAGTTCTGCCAGGAGAAGAAAGAGATGGTGAACATGCGTGTTGGGGTTCACACGGGGACTGTCTTATGCGGCATCCTGGGCATGAGGAGGTTTAAATTTGATGTGTGGTCCAACGATGTGAACTTGGCTAATCTCATGGAGCAGCTGGGAGTGGCTGGCAAAGTTCACATATCAGAGGCCACTGCTAAATACTTAGACGACAGGTATGAAATGGAAGATGGGAGAGTTATCGAGCGCCTTGGGCAGAGCGTGGTCGCTGACCAGTTGAAAGGTATGTGCCTTTCTTTGTCTTCTCCTTCCCCCATCCTGTTAGCATTCCACAGTATTAACAATAATTGACAAACCTCTTTCCAGCGTTAGTGTCTGGAGGCAGTTGGCTGTTTCGGTACACCTGACTGTAGGGAATCAGTGTGAGTTTTTTTTTTTTTTTTTTTCCTAGTGAGTCAGATGCTACAGACCTAGTCACACTGCAGACAGGGACACAGAGACAGGGCTGACCTAGATGAGACCTTAGAAGGAGGGAGAACTTTGAAAACTCACACCCTGCCTTTTGGCTGCAATGTCTCTGAAATTCTGGTCGAAATCCCAGTGAGTGAGTGTGTGATATCAGAGACTTTTGAAAGTTGCAACTTTTTAGCACTTAAAGAAATTGCTCTTAAATCCCATACAGATGTTTCCCTGTCTCTTTTGACAAAAGTGTTAACTTCAACCCCCTTTTCTTCTTCAGGCCTTGCTTTGCTTATGGTCAAAATCCAGCTAGGAAGCTGACTCTGTTTTGTAGCATCCTGGAGAATTAGACATATGTGCCTGTCAGTATACAGTGCCTTTGCCTGAATCAGTTAACAATTTCCCTCCCTCCCTCATTCCCTTCTCCTCTCTCTCCCTCTCCTAAGCTTTCATTTCTATCTTTCAGCTTCATTCACTTGTTACTTTATCTGCCTTGCTTCATACAGCCCAGATTTCAGAACTCAGAACCCCATGAGCTACCAGGTGTTCTGAAGGTAGAGTTCCTATGTCTCCCTTACTCCCTCAGATTTGCATCTAGCTCTTTGTCCTTTGTCTTAAGGTCTTGACTGTTCTAGGAATTTTTGCTGGATTACATGGTACTTTAGTTTATTTTCTTATTTTTATATAGGACAAAAGAAGTTGAGATCTGGAAAATGGATGTGTAAAATAGGACAGGAAACAAGGATCTTTAGTAATCTGCTACATTTCTTTCCCCATTCCCTGGGATTTTAAACAGTCCCTGTGTTTTACTATACTTTTTATTGGTGTGGGGTGGTGTTGGTTTTTGGTTTTTGTAGACAGGGTTTCTCTTTGTAGCCCTGATTGTCCTGAAACATGCTCTATAGACAGACTGGCTTCAAACTCACAAGATCCTCCTGCCTCTGCCTCTTAGGTGCTGGGATTAAAGGTGTGCACCACTACCTTATAAATCTTCAGGATTGAGGGAACATTAATTTTAGAAGTATATAGAGAATTAACATTGATTTTGAAAAGCTACATTAAAGCTGTATTGTGTTTTGTGGTACCCAAATGCCGCATAGCTACACAATTAAAAAAAAAACCCAGGAGAGGGACCTGAGGGAGGAGAGGTGATAGTTTAAAATGGGGGAGGGGGAGGTCAGAGAGTGGCAGAGTTGTGCTAGTGTGGGCTTTCTGCCTTAGAGCACTGCAGGGAGTTCAGCAGGAGTTTGGGGCCTGAGCTCCCTTGTCTTTTGTTCTTCTCTGGCCAGGGTGGGCTTGCTTTCTCCTGAGATTTTGTTAGTTGTTAAACAATTTATGGGCATATTCATATATTTCTGGAGAAATTTCACCAGAGGATTCCCTTGGCCTAGAGAGATTCAAATGTGGGTGTTGACCAGCTCACAAATGACGCTTTGAGTTCCCTTGGAAAGATCTCACTATGACAAGTGTTTTTCTAGTCATGAGTGTGGCACCTGCTTTAGGGCTTTATGGTATAAATGGATGTAAGCCCTCTGTGACATTTTGCCATCTTTTGGACTGGTGGTTTTGGGGGTTGTGGTACAGTTGTAGGCTATGATGCTGGACCACACTGCACTGCAGTGTATGTAAAGATTGAATGAGTTGGATCACAGGACAGTGGAGGCAGTTTGGTGAGGTGTACGTTCTGTGATGTAGCTTTTGGACTTTGAAAATACCAGAAGGTGTAGTCTAAGTATATTTGGAAATTTTGAAGTCATAAAACTCTTGGAAATATCAGTGTTTGTTAATTCATTGGTGATTTTTTCTTTTAATTTATAGACCCCAGGGTCTTAAAGAAATCCCCTCAAGAAAAATACAAACAGAAATCCTGGGGGAGGGGTGATGGTTTTTTTTTTAAAAGTTTAATTACAAATAAATTTAATGGTTTCAAATAGTATAAATTTGGTAATTTAACTTAAAAGTAAATGTGCATAAAAATGAATGTGCATTATATGTGTACAAAACATTTGCAAATGGACAGAGAAAGGAAGAAATAGAGGGAGGGAAGGAAGAGGAGGTAGAAGGCTTGGGTGAGCTATTGCTGATTTTTAAGTTCAATATTCGCTCCTTGAACCATCTTCACAAGGGTGATTTTTTTGTTTGTTTTTTGATTTTTTTCCTGCTCACTTTGAAGCACACATGAACAGGATTCTAGCAGTAGCATCTGTCGCTCAGCTCCCCAACACCTTTTGAAACTGTTAACCTTCTTTACTTCTTATCTCCTTGTCCTATTCTGGATTTGTGGCAGCATGGCAGGGCCACTTCAGCCTAAAGAATCTGAATGGAATGCAGATCTCTTATTTCTTCACATCCATATTTTCTCCCTTTGTTTCCCTCTGTCTGTCTGTCTGTCTGTCTCCCCTCCCCCCCAATTATAGCACTCCCGTGTATGTACACCACTGTGAATGGACCCATGACAGTCCCAACCTTGGCAAGCTCCTGGTTGGCAGAGTTGTTGCATAGTATGTCTGTATGTTGGGACATAGAGAGGCACGTGCTTGAGTGACTTCTGAGATCAAGCTCTGCAGATGGGCACAGGAAGAGTTCTAAGTACAGAGCAGACAGCTTGGACCTGGGCTGCCACAGCCATTCACGTTTCTCGGTAGGGTTGGGCTGGTGGAATCAGTTTATCAGGACTGGGGAGGCAATAGATGACCTAAGGAGTTTGGATTTGATCCAAACTCTCAAAGTGGGGAAGGATTCCCTGTTGGTGCTTATGTAAAAGGCCTGGTGATGTTGAGCTGAAAACTCAGTTCTAGGTTCTGGGACTACAAGAGAGTACAAAAGATAAAACGTCCTGTTCTCGTCATATGGACGCTGGGTTTTGGATGAACAGTTGGCTCTCTAGTCTCCTACAGGGGAGTTCATTAGTGGGTTAATTGTGAAGCCCAAGATTTTGGAAATAATCCATAGAGTAACAGCTATTATGGAACCAAGAAGAAGCAGCTAAATTTGAGCTAAAGGAAGAGTGCCTGTGCTGTAGTATGAGATAAACCTTAAAGCTCAAGGGATTCTGGCCATTCTGTGTGCTGCGCCCAAAGACCGAGGACTGTTATCCAGAGGTTTGCTTCTTCCTGTGGTAGATATGGAGTTCTGGGGGCAGAAAGTGAAATTTAGAATTTGCTTCCAGCTGCCCTCTCCCCTCATGTGGATAGGGTTAAGCTTCGCAGAAAGAATTCCTGGTTGCCATTGTACCATTAGACAAAGACATTTCCCCAAAATTTAGGCTGAGGAGCCCCGGAGAGAGAAACTTAGCTTCCACCACGTATGTGCTTAGGTAGCGTCTCCTGTACACACAGAAACAGCCTCTCAGGAAGCAAGTGACTTAGAGAAGATGAAGCAGAAAATGTGGCTTCATAGCTGGCAAAGGAGACAACAGCCAGCTATTCAGCGGCAGCCCTGTGAGTTCTGTCTGTCTGAGACAATGCCTTGCTACATAGCGTGCGCATAACCCAGGCTGGGGTTAAGGTGTCAGTCCTCCTGCCTCGTCCCTCAAGTGCTTGGATTACACGCATGTGCTGCCATGCCTGGCCTTTTCTATGACAACCTTTTCAGGCCCTTTGGGACCAAATTACATGGCTTCAAGTAAGTTGCTCACAGCTGTTAATTCCCAAGATAAGCTTTTGAGTGAATTAACTTTTGGCAAGGAAATTAAGAATATGGTTTGCTGAATTCCTGATGGAATGCAGAGGAAGGAAGGCAATCTTTTCAGGTAGAATTACTAAGAATGTGGAACACTTACAAGAAGATTCATAACTGTGTTCCTGCTGACTGGCTGGAGTTGCCTCTCGAAGGCATACTGGCCTTCTGTGCTTGGGTACAGTGTGTGCGAGGCTGTAGGCCAGTGCTCACAGTTTTGGTGTTTCTGGTGAGATTTTGGTGTGCTTGTCTACCCAGTCACCCTTCATCTGTGTGACTATTTTTTCGGTGATGACAAGAAGCTGTTGTCAAGTGGATGGGACAAAGTGGTCCCACATTCACCAGGCTTGGCATTCGTGTGCAATTTGCATTTGAGACACTTCAGACTTTCCTAATCAGGATCTAGAACACCAGAGGGATTTTATAAAGAGAAGGAGCTGAGCCTCCCAGGGAGGGATGCTTGGCCTGCACAGATGGAGTGATGGGCCAGGAAAAGGGGCAGGCTTCCCCAGGGGACACCAGAGAAAGCTGAGATGATGTCCTGCTGAACCTGGTTGCACTGTGTCCAACCAGCTACCCTGTGCCTCAGCTTGACTCAGAATTCGTAAAGGGAGCTATACTGGATGTTCCTGTTTCTGGAAATTGGGTGTTTACTATAACATTCATCAGTGTACTGGAGTGTCTGGTACCCTCTGTTCTGATTTGAGTGGAAGACTCAGGTCCTTGGAGTAGGTGAGAATGTCAGTCTTCTCCTTCGTACCGCAGTAGCAACGGGGCAGAGGCACTGGAGGCCGACTGGAGGAACCAAGTAGATTTGAGAACACGGTGAAAAAAGTCCAAGCCCTGGGACATTCCAGTTTCGGAGGCTTTCTGCAAACTAGTTAGTCGAAGCATTTGATCTCAGGATCCTTTACACTCCTAAATTATTGAGGTCACTCTTGATCCATAGATTTTCTTTTACCACATTAGAAACCAAAATAGAGACATTTAAACAGATATTTGAATTTAATTTCAAACTAACAAACCACTACCACATTAATATAAAAATATTTTAATAAAAATAAAAACATATAAGAAATAACTATTTTTAGACATAAGGACTTGGTGAGAATAGGAAATCTGTTTTGCAAGTTTGTTTAATGTCTG